TTGAAAATATAGATAAGATTGAGATGGGGTGATAATTATTGATATTGGATATGTCGCTTCTTTACGGATTCGGATAATTTTGGCAAATTTTAAACGCTCGGTGAAAATTGTTTCAATGATTTTTAAAAGAATATTTTTAATTCGTTCATATTTCTATAACTATATTTTCGTTTATTTCATCAGGTTCAGTTGCTTTATTTTTTTAAGGATTTTATTTATGGAATTTTATCTGATAGGGTTCGACCAATTTCAACAAAATATTTATTGAACTCATAAGCTATATTTTGTTATAAATTTTATATTGAACAATTTATATTGAATAGTTTTGATTAAAATAGTAACTGCAAACGTACGATTAAAACTAATAACATAAAAAGATATTGTGTGGCTAAACTTTGTTGTAAGAAATATCATGTGATTTTTTTTATCTCCGTTATCTAATTTTTTATCTCCGTTATCAAATTTTTATACCTGATATAGCTGTCAAACAGGTTGATCCACTGCTCGACATCCGTATCACTCCTGTATCTAAAATGATTTTATGCTTAGACTCTTCTACAGCGTGCGGCCCGGACAACATACCTGTTATAGTCTTGCAAAAGTGTTCTCCGGAGCTGTCATCTATCCTTTCAAAACTATTTAACAAGTGCTTATCAGAGTCTTGTTTTCCAGCATGCTGAAAAGTAGCATCTGTTATCCCTATTTTTAAAAATTCTGGAGAGCGATCTGATTCGCCTAACTACCGTCCCATTAGTCTTCTTCCTATCATAAGCAAGGTTTTTTAATCTTTAATTAACAAACACTTTATCTCTCATCTCGAATCTCATAACCTACTTTCTGATCATCAATATGGATTTCGATCTTCTCGTTCTACAGCTGATTTGCTAACAGTAATAACCGATAAGTTTTATCGCGCATTAGATAAAGGTGGAGAGGTTAAGGCCATCGCTTTTGACATTTCTAAGGCGTTTGATAAAGTTTGGCATGCTGGTCTTCTCCATAAGCTTTCTTCTTACGGTGTATCTGGAAACATCTTTAAGATTATCGAATCCTTCCTTTCCAATCGTAGTATAAAAGTTGTCCTTGATGGACACCACTCTTCTTCTTATTCTGTAACCTCAGGGGTTCCTCAAGGTTCAATTCTTGGCCCTATACTCTTTTTAATTTACATTAACGATCTTCCAGATTTTCTCACATCTAAGGTAGCATTGTTCGCTGATGATACTACCATTTATTCTTGTCACGATAAGAAGCCAACTCCCTCTGATTGCTTGCGGGGGGCATCTGAGCTTGAAAAGGATCTCACTTCTGCTACAGCATGGCGCTCACAGTGGCTGGTGAACTTTAATTCAGATAAAACTCGGTTTTTTTCAGCCAATCGTTATCGCAATAGTTTAGACCTTTCTATATTTATGAACGGTAATGTACTCGATGAGTCTCCTACCCTTCATCTTCTAGGATTAACTCTTACTTCTGATCTGTCTTGGAAACCTTATATCAAATCCGTTGCAAAATTAGCATCTGCTAAAGTCGCTTCTCTTTATCTTTCTTACTCTGGATTCTATTCTCTATCTCTATAAATCTCAAATCCAGCCTTGTATGGAATACTGTTGCCATATCTGGGGTGGATCTTCTAATGATGCCCTTTCTCTTTTAGACAAGGTGCAAAAACGCATTGTAAACATAGTTGGACCTACTCTTGCAGCCAACCTTCAACCTCTGTCACATCGTCGTAATGTTGCTTCTCTTTCTCTTTTCTACAAATACTATAATGGGCACTGCTCTAAAGAGCTAGCGTCTCTTGTGCCATCTACAAAAATTCATTCTCGTGTTACTCGTCATTCAACTAAGTCTCATCCTTTTTCTGTTACTGTTCCTTAGTGCTCCAAAAATTCCTCTAGTTTTTTTTCCTCGAACATCAGTTCTTTGGAATTTGCTTCCTTCATCTTGTTTTCCTGATTCATATAATTTGCAATCTTTTAAGTCGTCTGTCAATCATTATCTTGCTCTTCAATCTTCATCTTTTCTCTTCCAGTAACTTCCAACACTAATTAGTGGTTGCTTGCAGCCTTGTTGGAAGCGAAGATGTTAAAAAAATATATATATATATATATATATATATATATATATATATATATATATATATATATATATATATATATATACATAGCCAACGGGCATTTGTTGGTTTAAAATTGGTTTAGATCACGTTTAGATGGCATTTACTTCGATCTAAACGTTTAGGAACGTGTTCTGAATATTTAATTTGCGTTGAAAAGCTAAATCAAACAATTTCCGTACGGAACTAACTTAATTAAATTAGTTTCGTACAAAATGTGTCGAACATTTTGAATCTTTCATTATGATTAAAAATTAGAGTTTCTTATTAATCTTAAATTATGTAATAAATGGTTTAGAAAAGATAAAAGAAATTTGTTTTTAGTATTATAATGTGGCTAATGAAGCAGTTAAAAAGTCCTGTAAGTTCTTCGATAATATTGTTTAAGCAATTAAAAGTAATTTTAAGTACAGTAACAATGTATTTTGATAATTCTTTTTTTTTAGTTATTGCTACTAAAATAGCAGTTTCAAAAAGCAGCAGTAGTTTCAAAAAAGTATCAGTTTCAGCATTTTTTCAAACTATTTCTTAAATTGTTTTTTCTGTTTGGTTTTTAACAACGCTATAGAACGTCTATAGTTAACTCTCAGCTTCCTAAGTTTTCTACTTTTACTAAAAGTAGAAAAGTTATAAAAAATAGTTGTTACTTAAAATGCATAAGTTTTCTCTAAAGGTTTTAGAGGAAAATTATGCATTTTAAGTCGTAACTACTTTTTAAATAACTAAATAAAATTATTATTTCATTCAATAATAAAATTATTATTGAATAAAATTATTATTATTGTAAATTGATTTTTTGTGATGTTTTTACTCCTTTAAAATTTAAATTTTCCTAAAATAATAATTAAGCTAATGACTATTTCTGTAAAGATCATTCTGTAAATAAAAACTGCAGTGATTTTTAAAACTAATAGTTATTCTTTTAGTAATAAAGTGCAAGATAAAGTGCAAACTCTGTACTTTTAGATATGATTCTAATAGTTGGACATCTGTCAGATATTTACCTTTTAAATCATAATCTAATTGCTCAGGCTTCTGAAAAGCTATTTATAAAAATTCAACGCTTAAAAGTTAATGCAAGATTAAAGGTAACTCCTGTTATATTTAAAAGGTATGTTGATGATTGGTTCGAGTCTTTAAAGTTTAAATTATGTAAAAGAGAGTTCAAATTGTTCTGTTTTTATCTTATGCTCTATATCTAAAAGCTATTGAAATATTTATAGCATTATTTTTCATTTATTTTATGTTATGAAAGACCTACCAAGCTTGAAATTGTACGGGTCGAAATATATAGTATGTATATGTATATCATCCCTCGGAATTAGGAAAACTAAAGTCAGCAAAAAAAGCTAAAAAACTAGACGACTAAACTTAATTAAAACACTTTTAACAAGTTTAGTTACAAGTTAATGTTATGTGTTGATGTACCTTCAACCAAATTAGTGTTAACGTTTTAACAAAATGTCATATCGCCAGGCTGTTTGGTTGGAAGAACCAAAAGCTTGATATTTTATTGAATTGTTATTTTAGTTTGTGATATTATAATTTTTATTCACAAAATGTTAAACAATTTACTTTTTAAATTTATTTGTCATTGCTTTGGATAAGATGTTTTGATATTCCTTTTACAGATTGTTATGAGGATTGCAAAAGTTTTAAATATCAGAAACTGAAGAAGACATAAATAATTAGCAGATAACAAAAAAACGAAAAAAGTGCTGATTATACAACTCTTTTAAAGGTTTCATTTTAATTTGTTAATGTTTATATAAAAACTAATAATATATAAACTGAAAATAATAACATATAAATAATCCATAATTGTGCATTATTCTAATCTAAATTAATTTTTTTTTTCAATTTCTTCAGAGTTAATATTACTAGTTTAATGCAATTACAGTAGAAATGGTTAGTTATGGAAATACTGCATTAAAAATTGAATAAATCGCTTGTTAAAGCAAATAATATTTTATATATATATATATATATATATATATATATATATATATATATATATATATATATATATATATATATATATATATATATATATATATATATTTATATATTATAAATTTAAAAATAATAGTTTTATTTAGTTTGTTCTAATTTTTATGTAAAAAAAAAGAAGCAAGTTTTAATTAGTAAATGATTAACCATTTTTAAGGTATAGTAAAATAGTTTTTATCTTTCAGTTGAGGAAGAATTTTATATTAATGTTAATGCAAAAGGTACGAATATTGACAGGTTAGCTAATTTGATGTTACAATAAACATGAAATAAAGTTTGTGAAGACCTTAGTGCCAGAAATACTTGCGTGCATTATTAATGCATGCTATTTTATAATATAGCATGCATGCATGATGCATTCAAATATATAAAAAAAGTTACAATTGTTTAATTATACAAAAAGATTATGGATGTGGTACCGCAAGTATATTCAATTGATTATGCAAGTAAGTTGTCTACTTTACATCTTTGAAGACTAATAATAATTGTAATGAACATATCTTAGACAATATACACTCGGATTAACATTTTAATTAAACCATCACCACTTCCACAGCTACCTTGTCTCAAGCATTCAATCGCATTCTAAGATATCTTTATTCAAGTTAAGTGTGACTACTTTACCAAAAGACACTAGAATGGAACAATCAAGTAAGATGTCTAAATTTATATATTTTATATAAAACGCCTTTACTTTTAGATTAACCTGTTAATTTTATGACTTATGAACATATTTAGCAATGTAATCCTTTTAGGATAGACACTTTAGGATAATCAAATTTACAATGCTTTAGTAAATTTTTATTTAAAATAACTTTGTATACATAATATATTTATATAGTTTACATTGTAGCTAACCCATCAATACTTGCAAAGTCTTCTTTTCTGTAAGCCCGAAAATTGAGTTCTAAAATACCATTTTCCACATAACTACTATATCAAAGCACAAACTAATGGATTGATCAAGTAATACTTAATTTTTACCTTAAATTGCGTGTTAGTACATATATATGACTTTGATATATAAATTTTAATTATTATATTTGTTGATTAGTTTTTAACTTTTAAAATTGTAAGTAATTAAATTGTAATTACAATTTTATTTTTACATGTTTATTTATATTGTAGTGAAACTGTTGTACAGATATTGTTATAAAGTAATAGAATACTATATAATATTGTATTACTATGTTTAGGAAGGGCACTGCAGTTGTCCTGCAGTTATGCAACTTATCAACCCATAAACTGCGATAACTACAAGTTTTTTTAATAAGATTTTTATTATATAAATGTTATTTATTTTACAGAGTTTTAAAGAAAAGTTCTCTACCAATTGTTACCATAGTTACTCAATGTACACTCTACTAATGTACAATCTTCTATAATCTATAAAACTATGGATTTATAAAGTTGTTAAATGAATGATTTGTATGAATAGAATGAAGATGTTTATTGAGTTATTTTTATTATTTTTAGAAAAGAGATTGTATGACTTCGGTATCCGCAATACGGTATCGTGCATTGATTTCCATCTTAGAATGGTTCCCTTCCGTATAGGTGGAAATAGGAAAGGTTATGTTCTTTTTTCTAATTCTTAAGACGAAGAAGCTTAATCGGTTCAAACAAATATGACGATGATCATTATGGAGCCGATCATGATGACGAATACGATAATGCATATAATAATAAATAAAATGATTTTACTTGTATCTTAGACTTATATGAATAAAAAATTATTTGTTTAATGTTTGATTTGTTTTTGAGTATTTAGATAATGCGTTCAGCGTTTAACTTTTTTTTACGGTGCTTACTTAAACCATAAAAGAAAAATTTGATTTGTTTATCAATATTTTTTATTTATTTATGCTTCTTTAAATAAGTGCCGTAAAATAAAGTTTAACGTCGCAAAGTTTTAAACGAAACATTTAGATGGAGTTAAAATAGCGTTTAAAATGAACCATTTAGATATGGTTTAAATGGAACATTCGATTGACCTACGTTCTAAATTGAAACTAAATTAAATCTAAACATTTAGAACGAACATTAACTAAACGTTGATTAAATGTTCGAATGCCCGTTGAGTATACTTAGAATGTAAATTATTAGAAATCACTTATAAATTTATTTGCACAATGTGTAAAACAAAATATTGTTTTATATATATACATATATATATATATATATATATATATATATATATATATATATATATATATATATATATATATATATATATATATATATATATATATATATATATATATATATATATATATATATATATATATATATATATATATATATATATATATATATATATATATATATTATAACGTTTTGTATAACGACCACTAATTGTTGACAAGAGTCACATTTAGTTTGTCAAAATGTGACTCTTGGTCTCCTTTCTTCATCTGCATGAAGAAAGGAGACCAAGTTCTGACAGACTTTTTAAAGCAAAGGATTCAGCGCCTCATCAAGAATGATCTTAGCTTCAATGACTGCATAGTTCCTCTTTCCTCATGTCAGAAATGACGTTTTAAACTGAAAATGCTTGAAGATGGGAATCCTAAGACGTGTAAACCAAGATTGTACAGGTTTGAAGACATCCAAATAAAACCGGTAACTCGAAGTTCAAACACCTGTGATTGTTTGATCTGCCAAACTGGGAGACTCAAAGGTAAAGAAACTCACCCATTTGAGCAAAAAGACCAGCCTGCAATAACCAGTCAGCCACCTAAAAGTTCAGAAAAACGTTGTACAAAATGTTTGTCTGTTCTCTCACGAGGCCTTTCTCATCATTGCACAATTGGTTCACGCCATGAAAACTTGAAGCAACTGGCATTGTCAGATCCTAAAGGAGCTGAACAAGTTGCATCTTCCATTGTTGCATCCAAGGAGCATCTCCTGGAGGAATAATTTGACTTAGTCAATCGAGTGGGATGCATCTTCCAATCAGAAAAGGTAAAATGTATACTTACCACATTCTTCTTTAGAGAATGCTAATAGATTTCGTTTTTTAAGTGGTGTTGTTGCTCTAGAGCTTTTTCTTTCCAGATTTTCAATAAGGGATATGGTTCAAACTCAACAGAATAAAAGATTGTCTAACAACAGAATTAGGAAACTTGGATCGTTCATCAATCATATCAGCCCAACAAGATTAGTTGAACCAAACTTTCAAAAAAAGTTTGCTGAGTCTGGACAAAAATTGCAGAACTTTTTTACTGTCAGCAACTTGAAGATTTTGAATTATGGAGAAAACAGGGTTGTGGTTCATTGCAAAAGCATTAAGGACTTGAAAGACAGGATTGAAGAAGAAATTGGCTCCTCAAAGACTGCCTTTGCAAAGATAGGTATTGATGGAGGAGGGTCATTCTTAAAAGTGAGCATTGGAGTTATTAATGAGGTAGAAAACAATCTAGAGCCCCACAGTCCTGTCCAAAAATCTGCCAAACTCACAACACAAGTCTCAAAGCAAACTAGTGTGAAAAAGCAATTTCTTGTGGCTGTTGCTGATGACACTCCTGAAAATTATTGCAATGTGCAAGAGATTTTTCGACTCATCAAGCTTCAAGAACTAATCCCATCAAAAGCTGCAGTAATTTCATGCGATATGAAACTTGCAAACATTGTTAGTGGCATCCAGTCTCATAGCAGCAAGCACCCTTGCTGTTGGTGTGATATTGAGTCTTCGAAGCTACTTCTGTGTTAGAATCCCCGATCCTTTGGGGTTATAAGAGCTCATCATCAAAGCTTTATGGGTAGTGGTGGAGATGTAAGAAGATCCAAGGAGTTCCAAAATGTTGTCCACAGTCCTTTAATCTTTGGTCCTGATCAAGCACTGATTTTGGAGTTCATCCCACCTATGGAGCTTTATCTTCTGCTTGGGGTGGTCAACCATCTGTTCAAATGCTTAGTGCAAAAATGGCCAAAGGCCACAGAATGGCCAACTTCATTGCACATCAAGATTCAGTCTTTTCATGGAGGGCACTTCAATGGCAATGACTGCATAAAGCTTCTGAGGAAAATTGACAAATGGGCTAAAAAAGGCTAAAAATGAGAGCACTTCTGAGCCATTTCAATTCATTTAGACATTCAAAGACTTTCACGAAGTTGTCTCTGCATGCTTTGGAAAAACTATACATCCCAACTATGAGGAAAAAATCACCATCTGTTAAAGCAGAAACATGAGTTTGGAAATCTCTGTTACTCCAAAGATTCACACTGTTTTTCACCATGTGACACAGTTCATCAAGCTGAAAAAGAAAAGCCTTGGTCTATACAGTGAACAAGCCACTGAAGCACTGCATTCAGATTTTGCTAAGTATTGGGAGCGATACAAAAGATTGAACATCCATCCAGACTACTCCAGTCAACTCCTGAAGTGTCATTGATTATAACAGCAAGAAAATGTAGAGTAGCTTGCTATGAGGCACTGACCATCAATGAACATGTTGCATTTTTGAAAATTTATTAGTTTATCTTTAGAATGTATTTATTTTGTAATAAATAAATGTTTTAAGATGTATTTTTATCATTTGTTACGTTTTTACTTCATAATATGGTACTTTAGGGCAGCCAAATATTTTTGGAGGAATTTTGCAATTTTTCAGGTTTCCTAATTTAAAAGCAAAAACTTTAATGTTGAATAAGTCTTGCGGACAGTAATCCCGGATTTCAAAAGTACTTGTTATGAGATCCCTGTGATATGTACTAACACCCCTCAAAAGGGTTTTCATAGGAGTTGTTTTTGGTATTAGGGTCCAAAATTTTCAAACTGTGGCGCTTTCGGATACTGGTTGCTCGCAATCAATCATCACCAAGAAGTTACTACCATCTGACTATAAAGTAGTTCGTGTAGTAAATGTTGCAACAATTGGCGGAATAATTCGTTGTGAAGAAGTTGTTTCTAAAATACACCACCCAACAAACGGGTGTTTGGTGGGTGCATTGGTGTTATGTGTGGATGAAGTAATAAACAAGTACAACATGATTATGGGTATGGATTTAATAAAGTCGTGTAATAAACTGAAAATTAGAACTGGAAAATTAAAATTCTGTAAGTCTCTGATTAAATTATCATCGATACCTCGTGTTACGACAATTGAAATTGGAACAAGCAAAGCTTATTTTGATGGCAAAAAATGAATTGTAAGTAAGGGGAACCTAAAATAAAAAACGGAACAAGTCAGTACAACGTATCCAACCAACATCGTGAGGCTTTCGACAACAAAATTAATGAATGGATCAAAGAAGGCATACTTATCAAATATAACGATAAAATTATGGGAAAAGCTAAACTATTACTACCGTTGATGTGCGTCATTCAAGATAATAAAAAGAAAATAAGATCGGTGCTTTATTATCGCAAACTTAACACCTATATAAAAGCTTCTACAAGAGATGCGGATGTCATCAACGATGCAATGAGGGAATGGAGACTCATGAGTAAAAACAACAACAATACGGTTGTGGATCTAAAAAGAGCATACCTACAAATTTATGTGCATAAACGACATTGGGGCCTTACCAAACTGTAATTTACGAGGATCAACGATATGCGCTTACACGTTTGGGTTTTGGTTTGAACCTAGCACCTTTGATAATAAGCTCAATACTACGATATGTTCTCCAACAAAAAACTGCACTTGCAAAATCAACAAGATGATATATTGATGACACCTTAGCAACCAATGGAAATGGAAGGAAGCTGGTGGCACATATGAAGAAATTGGTTCTTCACGCGAAAACACCTGAATATCTTGGCAAAAACCCAGTTTGTGCTCTAGGATTGGAAGTAACAGTAAATCCATCTACAACGGAAATGTTTTGGAAGAGAGGATGTGAGATTCCTATTATTAAAAATGTGCTCACCAAGAAGAAGGTATTCTCATTATGTGGTAATCTGGTTGCTAATTTAGCAGTTGCTGAATGGTTAAGACTCGCATGCAGCTTTATAAAGAGATGTACAAACAAAGCAGGTTGGGATGAACCAATTACAAATAAGTGCATAAATGAAATAATGCAAGAGGTTGCGGATAAAGTTATCAAATGCGATCCAACAAGAGACGTTTGGAATGTCAAACCAAATGCATCTTTAACTGTATGGTGTGATGCAAGTTCGCTTGCAAAAGGAGTTGTAATAATGCAAGGTGACAAAAAAATAGATGCAACTTGGCTTCGACCAAAGTCTGATGCAATGCATATCAACGTGGCTGAATTAAATGCATGCATTGAAGGTCTCAATATGGCATTGAAATGGAACCCAAGTGATGTCTCTATTAAAACTGATTCTCATAGTGTAATCAGTTGGTTAAATTCTGAATTGACTCGTGACAGTCCTGTAAAATATGCTAAGCGATGTAAAATGCTAATCCGACGAAGGTTTCAAATATTTAAAAAGTTGGTTGAGAATTATGCCATAAGTGTAAATGTTTCATGGGTACCAACAACAAAAAATATTGCAGATGAACTCACAAGAGTGCCAACAAAATAGATAAAAAACAAAGTTGCGACGCAAGAATGTAGTATTATCTATAAGCACGGTCATCAGCAGATGATCGTGGTTCACTCAATAGCACACATGGGAGTTTCCAAGAGTATGAAGTTATGCTCGCGTGCTGGTATCCACGTTAGCAGAGACACAGTGAAACAAATTGTAGCTGAATGTGATGAGTGCAGTTCAATTGATCCTAATGTGATTTCGTGGGATAAAGGAAATCTTGCTGTTAGCAAAGTGTGGGAA